TCGAGTAAGACCTCTGGGCTGTTATAGAATATTTAATGTTATAAAACATCAGTCAGACTTTACGTTAGAATTAACTTTACAAAAGTAATAATAATTAATAATGTGATTTCACGTATTTCCACATATATACATGCTATGTGCGTACGCGTTTTTATCTGATATTTCTTCAAAAGTTTTTAAGTTGTAGAAGTTTGACTGCAGTTTTCCGGTCTGTGGTCAGTTTGAACTATTCCCATCCAGTCATCAAACAAGACAGCTCTTAACCCAAGCTCTAGATATTGCCGATAGCCAACACACAGCAGCGTTATGGAGAGGTGAGTTTAAGCATGTCGTTCTAAAAATATGTTCCATGACTCAGAAGTCACAAAATAAAATTTGCATTTGCTGCATTTACTTTTAAGAAAATTAAGATGTGGGCCAACGAGTATACGAGGAATGAATCATTCGAACGTAAACGAAAACTGGACCGCGCCAAAGCTCAAGCGGTTAGTCGCTGGTAAAATAGGCCAGAAGTGGCCGCAGTACAAGGGACTTAGTCCCACCCCACTAGCAATAAAAAAATTAATAAAAAACTAAAACTGTGTAGGTCCTCATTTTATTTACAGCATCGAAGAAAGGAAAAACATTAGATTGAAAATACGTAAATATTTATGTACATCGTCATAACTCCTCGTTATGAACTACAAATATTTTCACCTCAGGAATATTACTGTTTGGCGCGATTGAATTTCTTTGCTTTCCCTCTGTGTCTCCGGTCCGATGTTAATGTTAATACCGATTTCAGTCTTTAATCAGTAGCTTGTAATATTCGTATATATTTCTACAGTGTCAATACATGTCTGTGACTCATTAATAATCTGGTATTGATCAAGTATTAGGACCTAATGTAATTGAGTAAATTTGTTCCATCGATATAAATACAGTCGCGTGTTTGCTAGGCAACCGCCCTTTAGGCGTTTCTTCTTCAGTGTTACAACTTCTTGCACCGCTGATCTTGTTGAAGTGTTTTCTGCTCGGAGCTCAACTGTCCTTGGTCCCTTGTCGGATATGAACTCACTCCTGCTAAAGCCCAAACAAACTCTACTGGTCTCTGGTTGACGTTGGACTGTTATAACCTGCACTCGGACTGAATAAGGAATACCTTGTTGAAGGGTTAATTTCCCTAGCTGCTATGCAAACACTGCTTCAAGCAATTTGTTTGTAACTTTGGAAACTAAACTGTTAGACTTTCATTTCAGGGGCAACAATTTCCTAGGCTTCGCTACCTAAGAATTGCTAGCCGTTGCATAGCAATGGATGCTTTCTGATTCCAAATATTCCAGCCCTAGTCGGCATGCCACATTACTTTTATGTTTTTCAAACAAATCGTTATCCTAATTGTGGGATATCTGATATTCAGAGCTGTGATTATGATCTGATATTATGTAAGTAACGTACACCTTCATTCATGATATCCAGTCCTCACCCTAAGCCTGAGTATTGTGCAGTGATGAAATGTCAGATTCGTCCACTTCAGTGATCAAATTATGTTTTCCAATAAAATGGATACGAAGAATGTAATTCCAGAACTATCACCTCGTGTTTCTTCTGGATATCAGATTTAAACAATTGTCAGTAACAGGCGCTTGAAAATGACTGGACAGAATATATTGGTTTCAGTGACAATGAAGGGAAAAGTGTCATATTCAATTTAGCACTACCCACGTGGATTTTGTTATGTGAAATGAAACATTTTACCAAATGAGCACAGCATGTGCATCTGAACTGCTTTAGTTCATAAATATTTCACATAAAGCAGAAAAAACCCTTACGCTGATACTGCTGGCTTGAGAATCTGGCTAAGTATAATTTATATATGAATATATCCTACGGAAAAGAGTCTTTAGAGAAGCTGATATTTACCAAGTTGTTCAAGAAATTCTGTGTTTTTTAAGGGGCTCACGGTATCGTAGTTGGTTGAGGCACTATGCTACAAGCAGGAATATCACGAATTCTAGTGCAGATTAGGTGGATTTCTTCAATTTACCTAATGCTTCCAACCAAATTATGGCCCTGGGGTCGACTCAGCCTCTAACGGAAATGACTACCAGGAATCTTCCTGAGGCGGCCGGCGCGTAAGGCTGATAAATTTACCGCCATTTGTGAACCGATTTTCTAAAGAAAATGTGGGAACCTCCACGTCTCACAACCCTACGGCCTTCACGGCCTGTTACAAGGATTGCTTTATCTTTTTTTATGGATTTCAGAGATCCATAATCGTGTTAAAAAGAGCCTATTAGTGGTCCATATTCTGAGCCAGGTTGATGCAGTCCTCGTCATTACATTCCATTCCCTTAAAGATTTATTTTAGCATTATATATTCTATCTACGCCCGTATCTCCTAATTGGTCTCTGCCGTCGGGGTTTCGGACCTGATATACTCGTATATATAAATTACTCAGTTACATGGCGTAGGAAGAAATATTACTTTCCTTTTGTTTCACTGTCCTGTATGAGATAGAGCAGTTGCAGATTGCGTGACCATGCATAAAATCGAGGGTGCAACATTGTGACATAATCAAGGATAACAACGTGTACAGAGAAAGCGTACGTTAAACCGATAAGGAACGTACCTACAACTACTCCACGAGATTGTGTTGTTGATGTTCAGGAAGGAAGATGAAAGTAGCTATTGTCTTTAACAAAGTGGTATATACAGAGAGGTCCAAAAAATGTACTCACTCTTTGATAGTCAGTATCTTTGGGACAAAATGACGTGTAGTTACAATTCTTGTGCGGAGAGAGAGAGAGTCATTGTATGTGTTCGAAGTGACCACCATCAGCGGCTAAACAGCGTCGATGCCGCCGAACTGCTAAGCGAACTACGGCTGTCAGTGTGTCCGTTGTGATGGCTGCACACGACGCTTCGATTGTTTCTCGTAGCGCGTTCAGTGTATCTGGCTTTTGTCAATAAACTTCATCCTTCAAGGTTCCCCATAGGTAGAAGTCGAGAGGTGTTAGGTCTGGAAACCGTGGTGGGTACTCAGTAGCACCTCTTCGACCTATCCATCGTCCAGGTAGAGTGTCATCCAAGTACACCCTGACATCTCGATGGTAGTGAGGTGGAGCAACATCTTGTTGTAGGTAAAATCTCTCATCTCCAAACCACTCTCGAATGGCAGGGAAAATCGATGTCTGAAGCACATCGAGATAGACCTGACCAGTTACGGTACATTTTTTTGGACCCCCCTTTATGAACCCACGTAGCCACTGGCTGAATCATAATTTTAATACAATTAGCTTAATGGATCTTGACATAAGTGGAGCGCAGATATTTTCGACAGTGGAGTGATAGCTGAATAAAGTTTATTGAAACTATCGTTAACTGAATTACAGGAGGAAGCGATCAGCTATGAGTAAATGAATAAATTCTCTTGAAAACGATCATCTGTTTTGTTTGTTGCGCCTTGACTGAGGGCGTGTCAAGACGCTTGAGGCACAAAGCTTTGCTTACTTCAAGAAAAATTTGAGTGTTGAATCACAGAAGCCTTTTTTTCCGATTTTATTTTGATCTCCAAATTGACGATGTCCAAAAATGATTGTATTTTGTTTGAACACGACAAAGAAAGATTTTTAGAAAAAATATTCATATTGGCATTCATAATGAGGTAGCATACAACACTAGATTCTGTCCATTGCCGTCTTAATTTCTGTTCGAAGCAGTTAATTTTATGACATATTCTTCTTCTGCTCTGGCTTCACAGCCCTTTTAGTTTAGCCTTAGCTGCCCTTTTTTATGACTATTGGGATTATTCAGTATATACCGTATACTGGATTTTCAGTTTTGCTGTTCGAGTTGCAGTACCTCGAACGCAATTGCGAAGTTACTTCTGTGAGATATTTTTCATGCCGAGTCAGGGTAATGTGCTATGTGTAAACATTGTACAGAGTATCAAAAAATAATTATCGCAAAGTTTGTGTCCGTGATATTTATACCAGAGAGACGATGGAAGAGAAGAAACATTTGCTTAATGAAGCATGTAAGTTTCATATTGATAACTTGTGTAGAATTTCAGGTTCTCAAAGCGGCAGTTATAAAGGGTTCTGTCTTCTGGGACATAACGCCATGTAGCTCGTTGAAAGTCAGTCTATCGGACTGCGAACTACTGTCAAAGGACTACTCGGCGTTGTATCCCAGAACTTATAAATTACTCTTCAGCACTGATATTTTCGTTTAAGGACTAAAATTATATGAATCTAAAATGTCAATTCCCGTGCTTTCTTGTACCAAAATGAAAATAATTTCGACTACATGATGCAGTTAGCGCAGAAGCGCGCCTGAAGCAAATTGGTACACTAAACTGTTAGTCGTAGAGAAGCTTAAGGGAGTTCAGCTCTCTGCATTTATGCATCTATTAAACAGAACGTAGGATAACGCAATTGTGCAATGATTTAGGATACCTGGTGCAATTATCATATGAATTTCATATACTAAATTGTAAGTAGGAAACATTGGAAGAGGATTAGTATATTTGTTGAAGAATTCCGTTTTAGGATGTGGCGCCGTGTAGATCTTGTGTGTGCCGACGATTCGGAGCAACGTATCACCTCCATTTTCAGGGTAGAAAACACCGCGAGAGAGGAACCGGCTTGAGCCGGTGTCTAAGCACTAAAATGGCTACTCCAATTTTCTTAGAGTTTTACCGATTAAATTGTCCCCACTTCTCATCTCCGGCATGCTTGGTGTGTCACCCCTGCTGACATTAAACAAATGTGGTTCATGTGCAAATGTGACTATTTTTGGCCCTGAATCAACTAACCACTTAGTCTAACGAAAAGTTGTATTGTAGGAGCATTAAGAAATGGAGCGTTGAGAATTGCAGTCATTCACTTCTTCCTGCATATTTACTGCGCAGCCAGTAAGAACAGTATCCAAATGTAACTATGTTTTGGAGACACGTGTGTGTGTATGCGCGCGGTTGTTTCCAACGAAACTGCGAAACTGCTTGTAAGCCACTCACCCGAGACGATCATGTCACCTCTCTCCGTGGTCCAGTAGTTGATGGACGTTGGGTAGGCCTCCGTGAGGCAGTCTAAAGCAACGTCCTGCCCTAGATAAGCTCCCTCCAGCTGGTTCTGAATGGTCAGCATCGGGGGGACTGCGGACACAAACAATTGGACTCTTTAGCAACATTCTCAGTTAGTAAAGTTTTAATTGAGCATTTTATATTCAGAATTGTACAACGAGTTGAATATATTCCATTGTGCCACCGTTAATTTCAAGTTTACCTAACCAAAACTCATTTCGAAGTATACATTTGTCATTAGATAATGTGGATACACTAGTCACCAGTTTTAAAATAAATTTATGTATAAACTGTGAGCACAATACTGCTGCTCATTATATGCATTATATAAGTATGAAAATGTTAGCAGTAATGTGAGCATACTTACACTGCACTCTGAGCAGTACCCGTTTGCTTATGGATGGGGGAACCCCGTTGGACGCGATGCAGAGGTACGCGCCCATGTGTAACCGACTCACTTTAATGATGTGAAGAACCTCACCGTCCACAACATTCACTGAAACCAAGAGAGAATTGTGAACACTTCGTGAGTTAGTGCGAAATTCATAGAATGCTGGATCAGCTGGAACTCTTGTTTCGTACATTAGATACCAGCATGTTGCACTAAGTCTACCTTGTAAACTGGGTTATACAATGTCTGTTGTTCGTTCATTTATGTAACACTAGAGAATGGATACATAATTTGGTTGTCTAAGCCATATCTCTAAGTGCAAAGAACTGAGCAGTGTGATGATTATTATTACACCTTCCAGTCATTAGGAGTTTGAGGCGTACATTAAGAAACACAAGAGGAATTATTTGTGTGCGATTTGGGGCGTGGATTTTCTGTCTGTTTCAGATACGCAATTTTAAGAGCTGTTATATGTCATCTTGAGGCTTCGAAGGCTTCTTAAAAAAGCTGGCAATTCAAAATATGCATTTGACTGAAAATATGTGTTCGTTTTAGTAAATTCCAAACTAACCCTAGAATAGACTTCTGACAGTGGTGTATACTGTACTTCTTTTGGCTTGTTTTGGACTTCATCCATCGTCTGGTATGTAAAAGACAAAAGACCACGACTTTTCGGAGACTGGATCACTGGACCAGTGATTTCTAACTGGCCCAACTGAGTAGATTTATCCTTCCCCACCCACCTGAAGACGGAGACAGATCCAGTCTCCGAAACGTCGTGGTCTTTTGTCTTTTACATACCAGACGATGGATGAAGTCCAAAATAAGCCAAAAGAAGTAATCCTTTGATGTTATTCCTATTCTCTGAGCACTTAACAGGATGGTTTTAGAAACTAAAATGCTGATTTATGCTATTTCTGCGAATGTATACTTGTAATTTATAGACTTGACTCCATACTCTGGAAGGAAATGTAACAACAATATTGGATGATGGAAGAGATGATTCTCATAATTTTTTCGTGAGGGTAATGAAGACCTCCATATTCTCGAGACGTAGGAATATGACCCTCTGTTGATGCTTGCTGGGCATTATTATGATTCATGTAATAGGATTGTTCGTTTCTCACTTCTCAGTTTTACACCTTCACTTGCATTGCTGAAACCACAGTTGTTTCTTTTGGAAGTCACAAATGCTAGAAGATATCAAAAGAATGTTGAACCTTGCGAGATATTGTCGGTGAAAAGGGACGGTTGGGTTGAGGTGGGCCGACAGAGAGTGCATGAGTTAGATGTTGTGCAGCTCTTGAAGCTTGTGAAAATGAACAATGGGAAAATGTTCAGAGAAAATTCATGTTAATGTGCTTATAGGATCTGAGCTGTGAACATGGATAAATTATATTGATGCTCATGGATAAATCAGACTGCATTCTAAATGCACATATTTCAGCTATCATTTCTGAGAAAACAATAATATTCCATACGAACTAGCGTGTAGACCGAGGAGCGAAGTAAAAATAAACAGTCTTTTATTTCAGCTGTGAACCCATTGCCTTCTGCTAAATACATATTAAATGTCGCATGTATAGGCCGCACATTTTTTGCCAAAAATTCAAGAGGAAAACTGGGGTGCGGCTTATATTCGAAATATTCGAAATCACACTTCATTTAAAAAAAAATATATTCATAATTAGTAATACAGAATGTTCTACTCCTGAAATAATATTCCAAGAAAATTATTTTTTCTATAATTTCTGTCTGAAAATTGTGCTGCGGCCTATACATGCACGCGGCCTATACATGCGTAAATACGGTATTAAATGTCGCAAAATCGTTCCGTTTATTTTTGTAACTAATATTGAAATGAAATACGGTATATATGTGTTTACGAGGTTCTTTATAATGTATCTTCAGTAAAACATTGAAGTGTGGAATTACTCTCTTATTAAAAGAAAGTAACCACGCTACACACACAAAGACAAATAAAATACTTGTATTTCTTCTTATATTCTGACTATTTTTTTTACTTTGGAATTTCATAATTTAAGCATGTATTTTATTGCACTGCATCAGAAGGATATTTGGAGCTTTCTAACCATAATGCACAGGACCTCTAGCTCAGTCGGTGTAGCAATCACGTTGCTGTATGGATGACTGTGAATCGATTCTTACAGAGGCAAGTTGTTTCTATTCTCCATATCGTTATGATCTGCTCCGGGGCCCACCCAGACTCATGTTCAATGATATCCGAGGGCTGTATCCCTAGGGATAACGCGACAGGAGTGTGAAGTTGGTCACACACTCATCTCCATCTAGTGCCGAGGGTAAGAATGGTTGGCTATATCTCCACTCCCCCATGTCACTTCGTTACATAGTGCTCAATTATATAATTAAGTACATGGATAACCGGGTCTTTCTTTGCATTAGGGTTACAGGTTAGGAGGATCGTAGAAAACTGATTAATAATTGTGTTCCGTGATGGACTTCTGAGTTCTACCACCAGAGAGTTAATTTATAGTCCTTAATAATTTAATACAAATATCCTTGAATTATTTTTCATTTCGATATGATATGATATAATAATGCAACATGTCAGCGTATTGTCAGGCAACGTCTCGATAGACACCCCGTGATACTCGCACGCAACAATAGGACGAATGTTTATTGCTAGGCAACAGCAAGCGCCGATGGACTGACGAGATAGCTATCGTGTGACTTCTATTTTCGGTGTTTCTCAGTAGAACTGTGTTTTCTGCTTTGTCCGTGCCGCGGCTGTTCAAAGCGAGCCACCTTGTAGCTGAGAGAGTTTTTAGTTGAGTTTCGAGGTTCCAGGGTGATTGAACAAGAAATGGCAAGAAGTCTTCATAGTGATTTGAAGTGCTAGTTTATGTGTTGAGATCCGTTGCCAGCAGACGACTAGCATTTTATCCCCAAAATTTTAGGATAATTTGCTTTTGTTTGTTCGTTTCATTGAGTAATTGAGACAGACAATACCACGCTTAAGGTGGATGATAGCAACATACGGCAATTGGATACTAAAATCGCATTCAACCCGGTAATTACCGTGACAGGTACACCGGAGTGCCATGCAATGTTCGTTCATTTAAACATTTTTTATATATCACTGCCATTCAGCATATTAAAAAATAAAAAACGGCAACCTGCAGACCCAGAGAGTAAATGGAGACAATATTTTCATCGTTAAAGGCTTGGGAAATATATAAATATGCCTACAGATTAGTTGCACCTAACATACTCGTATATGTGCAGATGCGAGTTGTAGACCTATTTCTTAAAGTTTCCTTTATAAATATCAGTTCACAGAATTAGCACATTGAAACCTCATTAATTTGGACTTCAATATTTCGGAATTCGCAATAATTTTGAGAAGTGTTTTCTTCTTTTTACGCATTACGACCTCGATGATCACGTTGCCGCTACCTGAAATGTTTTGAGACTGATGTCAAAACTTTTTTTTATTATTGCTAGTGGGGTGGGACTAGTCCCTTGCACTGCGGCCACTTCTGGCCTATTGTACCAGACCCAGATGATAGGTGAGGGTGATTGTGGAGCAATTGGTGGAATGAAGATTGGCAGAGGAAACCGAAGTACTCGGTGAAAACCTACCACAGCCCCACTTTGTCCACCACAAATCCCACTTGACGAGACCCGGGATCGAACCCGGGCCGCCGCGGTGGGAAGCCAGCGACTAACCGCTTGAGTTACGGCGCGGCCTGATGTCAGAACTTACATTTTTACACATTATAACAAGTAAATTTATGATGTGCTATCTAAATTTCAAAATAAAATTATATTGCCTAAAAATAGAATTGAAGTCAGTTTCGTAACTTCCCTGAATATATTTTAGTAGTACTTCAATAATTCGGACTTTCACTAATTTGTGCAAAGTTTCACTCCCAATTAGTCCGAATTAATGAGATATTACTTTAATTGTTTGTATAAAAATTGTGAATACGGAGTACCGTGCCATATGGCAGTCTCTTTCAGGACGGACAGTCCTACTTATGTCTGAGATGGGATATAGGACCACATTCCGTCAAAGGAAAACCGTAAAACAGTAGCCCTCTTATGGGCTTCTGGTGCATCTTCGATTATTTATTTGAGGCTTTATTTTGCTCGTAATTCCACAGTTCTTTAGTTCGACACCATAAAATGGCACGCACTTATGTTCCCGTATCATTTTACGATGTGCTATAGCTTAAGATAGATCAGACAAAAAGTCGTTTTGTTATGGAGGTCTATGACTCCTCATGACTGAAGTGAGGACAAATATTCGGCTTCTTCATATTGATGCTCAGTAAGGGCATGAATGAATTAACAACGGTTCACAGTTTCCTCTAATTGTATGAGACACAAGAGATATTCGAAAGTAACATGGCTGATCTTGTTTGTCCGCTGTTAGATCAGCCACTGCATTTTGCTAGTAGCACCGCTTTTCTGCGTTGATGGTTGGTTCCGTAGATGACCATCTGTAAATATCGTACATTGAAATATCACTTGTAGTATTCAACATGCATTTAACTTTATATGCAACAAAAATTCTGCGCTTTTCCATGAAATGGGACATAACCTTGCTAAATAAGTTCAGTGGTGTGTGTGTGTTTGTGTATACTGTCGCGCCAACGTTCGTGCTCATGCACCCGAAAACTTGAGTAACGTAAAATTTTCAAGAATGTGCATCCTTAGAAGGTGGACTTTGCCTTTCACTACAATATAACATTTTATAACGGCAGTTTCATCTATAAATTTATGCTTCCGAAACTTGTTCATTTTATTAAAAACTTTTATAAAGTTTATAACGGTTTTATTATCTGTCTTACAACTTTAGAAGCTGCTGGTGTCAGAATTCCAGTCAGCAGGGTCAGGGAATTTGATGAAGTTTTGATTCGTTTTCAAGCAATAAATGCTCTGCCAGTCGCCGAGTCTTGGCCATAAATTAAATATGTAACAAAGTCAACATATTTGACAGTGGTTTCCTTAATATTAATATCTTGGTTAATGTAGTTAATCCTGTAGTACCCTACTTTACTACACTGAGTACTCTTATAAAGTTATGCCTGTCATGTACTCGTATCTACTAAGCACTG